CAATCTCAAGGAAAATCAAAGTGCTAAAAATGTGTGTAATACCAAAAATGTTGTATTTGTTTCAGACTCTGCTGGTTTCCCTGACCCCGGGGTCAAATAGCTCAGTGGGATAAGGAGTTACGAGAATGGGTATTTGGAGGAAAGAAAACAAGAGTGGCTCAGAAAATAGTGTATTCAAGAAGTGACCAACTGGGTTGGGGAGTCCCAAACCAACAAGCTCTTTGTCAGGAGGGCTTTGATTATGTTTTCTTGCCCTGGTAAAGAGAGTTGGACTGGATGGACTTAAGTATTTTCTATTGGTCATGGGGGTTCTGTGTGGGAAATTTGTGGGGTTCAGAATGCTCTTTGATTGTAGGTGCACTGTAAATCCCAGTAACTACAACTCCCAAATGTCAAGGTCTATTTCCTCCAAACTTCATCTGTGTTCATATTTGGGCATATGGAATATCTGTGCCAAGTTTGGTCCAGTTCCATCATTGTTTGAGTCCACTGTGATCTCTGGATGTAGATGAACTACAACTCCCAAACTCAAGGTCAATGCCCACCAAACCCCTCTAGTCTTTTCTGTTGGTCATGGGAGTTCTGTGTGTCACCTTTGGTTCAATTCCATCATTGGTGGAGTTCAGAATGCTCTTTGACTGTAGGTGAACTATAAATCCCAAGAACTACAACTCCCAAATGACAAAACCAAAAATTGGTTAATATATGTCAAATAGGTTGAAGAAGGGAAAGCTAATGATCAGATAAAGGAGAAAATGAATAGACTCCTGGACTGGCTGCACTTAAAAATGCTTTGTAAAGCTGGAGGGAGGGGGAAAGGGGGTAAAATGTAATGGTTTATAAAATGTAATTGTATATAAAGTAAGTAGATTTCTATGTATTAGATCAGGGGTCCTCAAACTAAGGCCCGGGAGCTGAATATGGCCCTCCAAGGTAATTTACCTGGCCCTCGCTCAGGGTCAACCTAAGTCTGAAACAACTTGAAAACACACAACTACAACAACAACAATGCTATCTCATCAGCCAAAAGCAGGCCACACTTCCCATTGAAATACTAATAAGTTTATATTTGTAAAATTGTTCTTCATTTTAATTATTGTATTGTTTTTAAGTGTTTTTTGCACTACAACTAAGATATGTGCAGTGTGCATAGGAATTCATTCATTTTTTTCAAATTATAATCTGGCCCTCCAACAGTTTGAGGGACTGTGGCCTGGCCCTCTGTTTAAAAAGTTTGAGGACCCCTGTATTAGATGGATACCATTGCAATAAAAAATGAAAAAAGGAACATAGGAAACTTGGAGGAATTTAAAGTTCAGATTTTTTAATGAGGAGAGAGACAGGCAGAAGCAGACTTGGAGAGAAAGCCTCCCACAAAATAGTGACTTAAGCAAAGAGATGTCGAAGTGCGTGAGTGGGGAGAGGAGGCAGGAATGACGACTGGCCTTGTAAGGAGGGTGACTCCTCGTAGATGTTCTGAAAGGCTTCCATGTTCTTGCCTATGGAGCGTGAACCAACTAAGGCCCCTTCTACTCTGCAATAGGAAATCCAGACATCTGCTTTGAACTGGATTATATGGCAGTGTAGACTCATATAATCCAGTTCAAAGCAGATAATGTGGATTATCTGCTTTGATAACCTGGGTGATATGACAGTGTAGAAGGGGCCTAACATTTTTAGTATGTTCTGACCCCTCACAGGGAAATGTAGGAGCTCACAAAAGGTAAAGAGAGGAGTAACATATAGGGCAGCAAACGGGTTGCTCCCTTCTCCTCTCTTTGACAATGGAGGAAGCTTTTCACCTTAAGAACAGACAAGCATCCCGAGCTCTGAGGATTACCTGGGAAGGAATCCCACTGGAGCATTGCAACACACCCAAATATCTGGGAGTCACTTTGGACTGTGCTCTGACCTACAAGAAGCACTGCCTGAACATCAAGCAAAAAGTGGGCGCTAGAAACAATATCATACGAAAGCTGACTGGCACAACCTGGGGATCACAACCAGACACAGTGAAGACATCTGCCCTTGCGCTGTGCTACTCTGCTGCTGAGTATGCATGCCCAGTGTGGAACACATCTCACCCCACTAAAACAGTGGATGTGGCTCTTAATGAGACATGCCGCATTATCACGGGGTGTCTGCGCCCTACACCACTGGAGAAATTACACTGTCTAGCCCAGTGGTCCTGGGGGTCGCGACCCCCAAGGGGGTCGCTGGGCCATTTTCCGGGGGTCGCGAAGCCGCCCGGGTTGGCCCCTCCCCCTCCAATATGGCTGCCGGCTCCTGTGTGAGCCAAACAGCCGCGGCCATGGATGAGGCCTTCCCCGCTCGCCTCCTGCGCCCACCGGTTTCGGAGGACGCGAGAGGCGACTGGGAGGCCCCCTCCATGGCTGCAGCCATGAAGGAGGCCTTCCCCGCTCGCCTCCTGCGCCCTCCGGCTTCGGAGGACGCGAGAGGCGACTGGGAGGCCCCCTCCATGGCTGCAGCCATGGAGGAGGCCTTCCCCGCTCGCCTCCTGCGCCCTCCGGCTTCGGAGGACGCGAGAGGCGACTGGGAGATCCCCTCCATGCCTGCAGCCATGGAGGAGGCCTTCCCGCTCGCCTCCTGCGCCCTCCGGCTTCGGAGGACGCGAGAGGCGACTGGGAGATCCCCTCCATGGCTGCAGCCATGGAGGAGGCCTTCCCCGCTCGCCTCCTGCGCCCTCCGGCTTCGGAGGACGCGAGAGGCGACTGGGAGATCCCCTCCATGGCTGCAGCCATGGAGGAGGCCTTCCCCGCTCGCCTCCTGCGCCCCCCGGCTTCGGAGGACGTGAGAGGCGACTGGGAGATCCCCTCCATGCCTGCAGCCATGGAGGAGGCCTTCCCCGCTCGCCTCCTGCGCCCTCCGGCTTCGGAGGACGCGGGAGGCGACTGGGAGATCCCCTCCATGGCTGCAGCCATGGAGGAGGCCTTCCACGCTCGCCTCCTGCGCCCTCCGGCTTCGGAGGACGCGGGAGGCGACTGGGAGATCCCCTCCATGGCTGCAGCCATGGAGGAGGCCTTCCCCGCTCGCCTCCTGCGCCCTCCGGCTTCGGAGGACGCGGGAGGCGACTGGGAGATCCCCTCCATGCCTGCAGCCATGGAGGAGGCCTTCCACGCTCGCCTCCTGCGCCCCCCGGCTTCGGAGGACGCGGGAGGCGACTGGGAGATCCCCTCCATGCCTGCAGCCATGGAGGAGGCCTTCCCGCTCGCCTCCTGCGCCCCCCGGCTTCGGAGGACGCGAGAGGCGACTGGGAGATCCCCTCCATGGCTGCAGCCATGGAGGAGGCCTTCCCCGCTCGCCTCCTGCGCCCCCCGGCTTCGGAGGACGCGAGAGGCGACTGGGAGATCCCCTCCATGGCTGCAGCCATGGAGGAGGCCTTCCCCGCTCGCCTCCTGCGCCCCCCGGCTTCGGAGGACGCGAGAGGCGACTGGGAGATCCCCTCCATGGCTGCAGCCATGGAGGAGGCCTTCCCCGCTCGCCTCCTGCGCCCTCCGGCTTCGGAGGACGCGAGAGGCGACTGGGAGATCCCCTCCATGGCTGCAGCCATGGAGGAGGCCTTCCCTGCTCGCCTCCTGCGCCCTCCATCCTGTGAAGGGGCGAGGGTCTCCCAGCCGTCTTTCCCCTGTCCAGGCAGCAAAGAAGGCTCTTCAGAAACTGAAGGTAGGACAAATCTAATCTTTTGTTAATACCTCCCCCAAATCCCTCCAATATTTTCTGTGGGTCATGGAAGTCCTATATGCCAAGTTTTGTTCTATTCTATTGTTGGTGTATTTCAGAATGCTCTTTGGTGCCTGGTGAACTATAATTCACACAATTGCAATTCCCAAATGTCAGGGTCTATTTTTCCCAACCCCTCCAGTATTTTCCGTGGGCCATGAAAGTCCTGTATGCCAAGTTTGGTTCAATTCTATTGTTGGTGTAGTTCAGAATGCTCTTTGGTGCTTGGTGAACTATAATTCACACAAGTGCAATTCCCAAAAAGTCAGAGCTGAATCGGTTGGCGGTAATTCCAATCCCTTCATCCATTGTCCATACTCCCCCAATCATACTGTTTTTATCATTAATCACTATGCTTTAATTATGTTCAATTTGTAACAATGGAAATACATTCTGCATATCAGATGTTTACATTACAATTCATAACAGTACAGTTATGACGTAGCAACAAAAATATGGTTGGGGGTCCCCACAACATGAGGAACTATATTTAGGGGTCATGGCATTAGGAAGGTTGAGAACCACTGGTCTAGCCGGTATTGCACCACCTGACATCCGCCAGGAAGTGGCAGCCAATAGTGAAAGGACCAAGGCAGAGACATCTCCAGCTCATCCCCTGTTTGGGTATCAGCCAGCACGTCAACGACTTAAATCCAGACATAGTTTTCTAAGATCTACAGAGACACTCGCTGGAACACCTCAGCAAGCGAGAGTCCAAAAGTGGCAGGCTCAAACCCAGAACCTCAACCAATGGCTGATACCAAATGAGAGACTCCCCCCTGGGCACACAGAGGACTGGGCAACTTGGAAGGCGCTGAACAGACTGCGCTCTGGCACCACGAGATGCAGAGCCAACCTTCAGAAATGGGGCTACAAAGTGGAATCCTCGACATGCGAGTGCGGAGAGGAGCAAACCACAGACCACCTGCTGCAATGCAACCTGAGCCCTGCCACATGCACAATGGAGGACCTTCTTGCAGCAACACCAGAAGCACTCCAAGTGGCCAGATACTGGTCAAAGGACATTTAATCAACTACCAAACTCACACATTTTGTATTTTCTCTGTTTGTTTGCTTTGTTCTGTTAGAAATGTAATATAATTGACTGGCTGCCCTGACACGAGAAATAAATCATGTTTTAATTTATTTTAGTTAACGATTACAGGAGTGTTAGCATAGTGGTTAGTGTCTATTTGTATGTGTATCTTTGTTTTTGTCTTTTATTGTTGATATGGTCAGTGGACTAATCAGTCCACAGATCTATTGGTCTTAGTACAAGAGACTGACTGCTAAGGATCTGTCCTTGGAGTCAAAGTAGGAAGTATTTTATTAGTAACAGTTTTCAGAAGGGATGTAGGATTTAAGAAAGAGAAGGAAGAAATGCAAAATGTAGACTATGGGTAATTTCTAGATCAATTCATGATTTCTAATCTCTATAGTCTGTGGTTTTTAAATGCTGGGGTTCCTTAGGAGATCATCATGAGTTCCTCTGAAACAAACATAATAATGTAATTGAATGGTTTTCCTGTGTTTATTAAATAAAAATAAACACTAATTTATGTTGCAGAGTATATCTTTATCACTTTTCTTATTCATATCTTGCAGAGTAAGTTCTTCCCAGTCTTGCCCAAGGCACACACAGCTCTGGAGGCAGCGATAAATGGGGTGCAATTCTACTCAGGATTACAGACGGAGGATGGCCACTGGGCTGGGGACTATGGAGGACCTCTCTTTCTGTTGCCAGGTATGTTTACCAGAAAGACTCGGACAGTGTCTTTTCCTGCATGGCAGGGGGTTGGACTAGATATCCCATGTGGTTTTTTCCAACTCTATTATTTTATAATTCTATGAAAGCAGGGGCACCCAGAAGGGATAGAACTCAATTAGCAGTGGCTGCTTCAGCCTCTTTGTGCTGCCATTACCTGTTTGCCAGGTACCTGGGACAAATAGGCAAGCCATGGGACCTGAGATTGGGAGTTCCTGAAACTAGAAGGCATCTTGCTTTGAGGATCTCCAAAGCCTTATTAACTTCTCTGTAAAATGTTCTGTAATTGTAAATGTAAAATGTTCTGTAAGTTATTATTATTTATTTATCTACAGTATTTATATACCGCCTTTCTCAACCCTGGGGGGACTTAAAGCGGTTTGAGTCCCTAGGGCAGTGGTTCTCAACCTTTCTAATGCCGTGACCCCCAACCACATTTTCATTGTTACTTCATAATGGTAATTTTGCTACTCTTATGAAGCATAATGGAAATATCTGATATGCATGATTCATTTTTATTATTAAAGATTGAACATAATTAAAGCATAGTGATTGATCACAAAAACAATGTTTGGGGAGTATGGACAGTGGATGATGGGATTTGCAGTACCTTCAACGGATTCAGCTCTGATTTCCACATACCACTGAGACACCCACAAATTAGAGACCTGGAACAAACTTGGCACACAGAACCCCAATGACCAACAGAAAATACTGGAGGGGGCTGGGAGGATTGACAGTGATTTATGGAAGGTGTAGTTCACCTCCATACAGAGAGTACTGTGAACCCAAATGACTGTGCATTTGGACCAAACTTGGCACAAATACTCGATATGCCCAAATTTGAACACTGGTGGGGTTTGGGGAAAACAGATCTTGACATTTGGGAGTTGCAGTTGCTGGGATGTATAGTTCCCCTGCCATCAAAGAGCATTCTGAACTCCAACAACAACAGAATTGAACCAAACTTGAATTCCCATTACCAACAGAAAATACTGGAGAGGTTTGGGGAAAATAGACGTTGGCAGTTGGGAGCTACTGGATGTATAGCTCCACTACCATCAAAGAGCATTCTGAACTCCAGCAAAAATGGAATTGAACCAAACACATCATATAAAACTCACATCACCAACAGAAAATACTGGAGACAACAAAGGATCTGGATCAAACTTGGCACACATACCTGATATGGCGATACTGCCTTACTGGAGAGCTTTGGGGTGAGCTGACCTTTCTTTCTGGGAGTTGTAGTTCTGGGTCGGAAGGGTGCGGGGGGTGGGCAGAAAAGGCTTCCCAAGCCGCAAGGCCTTGCAGGGGAAGCCCTCCGCTCACCCCCGCACCCTTCTGAGGTCGGAAGAGCATGGGGGTGGGCAGAAAAGGCTTCCCAAGCCACAAGACCATTCGGGGGAAGCCCTCCACCCACCCAAGCACCCAAATTACCTGTACAAATGCATCTCTCCCTATGAACCATTGCGGAGATTAAGATCCTCCAGGGAGGCCCTGCTTTCCATCCCGTCATTGTCACAGGCGCGATTGGTGGGGACGAGAGACAGGGCCTTCTTGGTGATTGCTCCCTGGCTATGGAACTCCCTTCCTGGTGAGATCAGGTCGGCCCCCTCCCTCCTGTCCTTTAGAAGGATGGTAAAAACTTGGCTGTGGGACCAAGCTTTCAGGACAGGGCAATGAAGCGGCAATGGGAAAGATGACAGGGCCAATTGGATTTGATGCGAATGGCTAGGACGGTTTTAAATTGTGTTATTTTAAATGGTGTATTTTAATATTTAGATAAATGTTTTTTTAATGTTTATGTATTGTACCCAGGCATTGAATGTTTGCCATGTATATGTTGTGCTCCGCTCTGAGTCCCCTTCGGGGTGAGAAGGGCGGAATATAAATGTTTTAAATAAAGAAATAAATAATGTTAAGAAGTGGTCTCAGCATAGATTGTTGCCTCCTCCCTTTTAATGTCAGTTCCCATTCATATTTCATTGTTTTTGTGACATGTTCCATCCTAGGCTACCTTTGTGAGCCCTTGCTGATCTTTTTTTGAACAGGGCTCCTCATCACCTGCCATGTTGCCAAGATCCCGCTGCCAGAGGAAAGCAAGAAGGAAATGGTTCGCTACTTGCGCTCAGTTCAGCTCCCAGATGGAGGATGGGGCCTGTGAGTACAATGAAAACAAACAAACAAACAAACAAACAAAATAGTGCTTAAGAAGCCGGAAAGCAACTGGACAAATTCAACAATGTTTTAGAAATGCAGTATGTAAACTAGATACTGGAGATGTGATGAGATAAGTGGATGACTTTTGATTTCAGCCTGGCAACATTAGCATTGGGTACTCAAATGGAGTCAGTGTATGTTAGACATCATCTTAAAGGCATTAGAAGAGTAGTTTGTCTTACTTTTACAAGGGATCTGGTGGTTGGGTGGGGGTGGGGGGTAAAGAAGCTATATCCCCTCAGTAGCTTGGCCACATGAGCTTTTAGTCAGCTCTCCACGTTCACTGAGGTTAGGGTCATAGGACCTCTGCTTCAGTGGGAAAATCCCAAAATAAAATTTAAAAACTTTTAAAAAATCAATATATATTTTTTAGCAATCACTAGGTCTTCCGGTGCAATTCTGTGGTCAACTTCTGCAAGGATGATGGTGGGAGCCTACAATGGCTTAGAGAAGTGTTCTTTCTAGGAATCCCTAAGCCCCCCAGGGTAATCCTATGGGGGAAACTAGAGGTCCCAGAGATTCTTAGAGAGAACTTATTAATCAAAGCAGCAAAAGTAAAACCTGCAAATGTGGAGGGCCAGCCATAGTGTTCTAGTTTGAGGGGGGAAAATCAGCCACCACATTTTGGAAAGTAACTAGATGGTGAAAAAAAACTCACATTTAAATGGAACCTATATCTTAAGAAACAGGAGAGTCCGCTTTACTCTTGTTTGTGAAACAGAATTATCATTCTTAGGTCTGCATTAATAAACTAGCACTACTGTGGCACAATGACTTAAAACCTTTTAAAGTTTTATCTTCATGCTTAACTTCTTGGCCTGCTTTTTAATTTTGCTTCCATTTTTTATATTGCCTTGCTGGAAAGAAATTCAAGGTGACCCAAGGCATTTAGTGTTGTAGCGATGCAAATGGATCACTGGTATTTAATTTGGTTTTCTTCATGCAAGGAAGCACTCTTGCATAGCACCCAGACATCATCTCTAGCTGAGAGGTTGTCTATGACCCCTTCTACACTGCCATATAATCCAGATTATCAAATCAGATCATCCACATTATCTGCTTTGAACTGGATTATATGAATCTACACTGCCAAAGCAGATATTCTGGATGTTATATCACTGCATCTAATCAGGGGAGATGTCATGAGTGTTTTGTGGTTTTTTGCATTCCAGCCCACAAGAACATACTTCAGACCTCTTGACACCCATGTTAGCAGCTTTTTTGCAGATAAAATCAGATCTACTCGTCCTGCAGGGTGTAATTGATACAGGTCCAGTGGATATAATCTTGGTGCCTGCTTTCCTGTGTCTTGGAAATGTTTCAGTTTGTGCAGCCACAGGATGTAAATAGGATCGTTGTAGACTGCCACCTTCACTACTTCTACCTCCTCCTCCTCCTCCTTTGCACTTTTCCACCAATTTGCTCCCAAAGTGGCACCCAGGGGATATTTTCAACACAGCCAATTAAAATTAATCATAATACAAATGGAAACCATTAAAATACATAAAACAATATTTTAAAAGCATTAAAAGTAACATATGTTTTAAAATTATCAAATATCTCTCATTTGTAAATGTTAAAACAAGAAGAAGTAAACAATTTTTGGATATAAAAGTGGAAGGGAAAAATGTTAAATGTATAGCAAAACTGACAAAAGAGAAACTGGAAATCCACTTTTGAAAACTAATTTATGAATTAGTTGGTAGTGTTGGAGTTATTGGCAGAATAGAGATATGTTTGTTAAGTAATCGTTACCTAAGTGTGTCTGTGTTAATGTACACATAAGTATTGTGACTTTTCTTTTTGTGTGTGTTTTTATTGTCAAAAACTTTAATTAAAAATATTTGGAATAAATTTATAAAATGTCTCCATAAAAAGCTCCCCTGCTTCCATGTTAAAAGCCTGCTTGAACAAAAACTGTTGGTTTCTCCCCTGAATCATAGAATCATAGAATCAAAGAGTTGGAAGAGACCTCATGGGCCATCCAGTCCAACCCCCTACCAAGAAGCAGGAATATTGCATTCAAATCACCCCTGACAGATGGCCATCCAGCCTCTGTTTAAAAGCCTGAAAGAAGAACATCAGGGGCCTAGCTTTCTGTGGATGTTGGATCCTTGCTCTTCCTGGCTTATTAAACAGCTGGAGAGGTTCAGCAATGTGGTGAATGCCTTGCTGGTCTAAAATGGCTATGCTTGAAGCCATTACTGATCAACCCTTTGACATGGTGGCCATTAATTTGTAGTGTCCCCAATGCTTTTTGTCATCTACAAAAAAAAAATGCTGGAAGAGATTGACTGGAAATGTGGAATTCATTGTCATTATTTATTTATTTCAGTTATATACCACTTTTCTCATACCTAGGGGGACTCAAAGCGGTTCACAACATAGTAAATGGCAAAGATTCAATACTGCACATCTATATAAAAACATGACAAGTTTAAAAGCGATCATATATAACCATAAATTATTAAAATTATTAAAAACTATGCAAACCATCAGCATAGTGAACTTCACCCTTGTTGACTGCTAGTGCCAAGTGCCCTTTCAGAAAGGCTCTCAAGGCCACTTCAATCAGGAAGACCAAGAAATAATTGTCCAGGAGTCTGAGGTTTATGTTTATAGGGGGAAAGCAGGAAGATGGTGTTATTGGCTTTTACCGTTGTGGTACACAAGTGGGATGGGTGGCAAGGGAGAGAGCTGAATTTGCTTGTGTGGGCATGTGTCTCTAATTCTTAATTGTTGTTTGATAGGCATATTGAAGACAAATCCACGGTGTTTTCTATTGCTCTCAACTACACTGCCATGAGAATTCTTGGGGTCAGTCCCGATGATCCAGATCTGGTGCGGGCTCGAAACAACCTCCATAGCAAAGGTGATTTACCATTTGGAAACTGGAAATGGAGGTGGATTTCCTTTTCTATCGACATCACTGGGAAAGGGCACTCTCTTCTCATTTACAGTAGCGATAACCCCTGGGAATGGTGTGGTACAGGTACCTGTCCTGTTCCAAAATGATGAAAGTGCTGAGAGCAATCACTTTGAATCATAACTGCAACTACAATTTTGACATCCCAGCTCATTTTCTGATCCTAACTGCTGAAATCATTAGTTGAACCAAACCTTGCTTCCCTCAAACATCCTGTGCTTTTAGTTGATTAGAGTTGTTGTGAAAATCTGGAGGGCGGAAACTCCCAACAGATTAATTTCACTGTCCCAGTCCATGGTGAAAATATACCTTCATTTAAATGTTTCTCAAGAATGCAGCCACAACTTCAAGCATCTTAGGCCCCTTCCAGACTGCCATATAAAATCCAGGGTATCATCTTTGAACTGGATTATACGGCAGTGTAGACGCATATAATCCAGTTCAGAGCAGATAATGTGGATTATATGGCAGTGTAGAAGGGGCCTTGTTCATCTATAAATTGTCATCTACGTTTGCAGCATAATGTGAAGTGTGGGTTTGGAAAGCAGCCTACGATCCTCCTTGAGTGAATGCTCTTTCCATTCTTATGTTCGCATAGAAAGGGTTGAAGAAGGAAATGCATCAGTTGCACATTAAGGCTTGGTCTCCTTCTGCTTGATGAGTCTAGCCCTTTTGCTTCTCCTTCTTGTCTTTTGCCATCCCTGTTGCCCAAACAGTTAAGGTTCCTTGTGGATGCTTGTCTCTAGAGTTTTGAGGCAAGAATATTTGCTGAACTTCTGAGAAGAGACAAGACTTGCATGTAGGCCTTTATTTATGTCCAGTCTCTCCCTTTGTTGACTGTTGCCACCAAGTGCCCTTTTAGAAAGACTCTCAAGGCCACTTTTGTCCTTCAAATTCTTTGGACTGGGATCCCTAGAAACCGTGAAGGAGAGAAGGATTTGGAGCAGTCTATTGTAATTAGCTAAATAAGGCCAATTCCTTTTCCCATATTTCTACACCCAAACTCAGGTGAAAAGAGGCTGCTTTTGTAGTCAAGACTAGCTGATAAAGAAAATGGAAAAGAGGATCTGATTCTGCAAACCAGCAACTGGAAGTGCTTCCTTTGTTCTGTCTTTTTGAAAAGGAAGGAACCAAATTGAATGGGTTTTTTTTTTTTTGTATTCTATTATATCCATAAACTGTACATTTGCTTTTGTGTCTGTTTAAGTTATATCTTTTGACTTGGAATCTGGAAGTAATAATTGTGCAGATCAGGTTCTCTTGAATAGTTGGGCTGTTGTAAGTTTTTTGGGCTATATGGCCGCGTTCCAGAAGCATTCTCCTGAATATCTTGAAACATGCTTGGTGCCTAAATGTGTCTGGACTGCTTTCATGCATTTGCCTTTGCACTTTGACTGCAGAGTAGTTGCTGAAATCCTTTCCTTCCATCATGGCTCAAAACGTAGAGTTGGAAGTGGGACAGGGCATTCTCCCAATTCATTTGCACTTCTGCCTGCCAATTGTGCCCTAGTAATAAGACAGAAAGAGAGTTATCAGTAATATTGCTGCCTATGTGAGCCGCTCTGAGTCCCGTGTCCCCCCCAGGGGTGAGAAGGGCGGGGTAAAAATGCTGTAAATAAATAAATATTCTGAAGAAGACAAATTTAGCTAAGTTCACATGTGTTTGGTTCCACAGGTGGTGCTGTGAAAATCCCTTCCTGGGGTAAATTTTGGTTGGCTGTCTTGAATGTCTACAGCTGGGAAGGAATGAACACTCTTTTTCCTGAGATGTGGTATGTAGAACTGGAGTACTTGTTTTAAAGCAGGAGTTGCATCCGTATCTTCTCACAGAAAGATGCCATTAAGCAGATTGGCTGCTATTTGTGTTAAGTCTTGGGTCCAGTTTCTGGCATGCCATCCATTCACTGGGATTGGTCCTTATTGGTCCTTCTTTCACAAGAAGATTCCAAGAATGAAAAGGTCAACCTTAAAAAAAACATTAAAAAAGGTAAAGGTTGTCCCCTGACATTAAGTCCAGTCATGTCTGACTCTGGGGTGTGGTGCTCATCTCCATTTCTAAGCCGAAGAGCCAGCGTTGTCCATTGACACCTCCAAGGTCATGTGGCCGGCATGACTGCATGGAGCGCCGTTACCTTCCCGCCGGAGCGGTACCTATTGATCTACTCACATTTGCATGTTTTCGAACTGCTAGGTTGGCAGAAGCTAGGGCTGACAGCGGAAGCTCACGCCGCTCCCCGGAATCGAACCTGCGCAAGTCCCCTAATATTTTGGCCCAAACAAGTAGAAATTGGATTCATAGTGGCATTTGTCATTCCCCGGCTTTATGCAGTATGTATTTATTATTATTTATTTAAAACATTTATATCCCGTCCTTCTCAACCCTCAAAAGGGGACTCAGGGCAGCTTACAATTGGCAATCATTAGATGCCGACAAAGAACAATTTCAGCACAGCAATTAACATAAACAAGTCAACAACAGTAAAAAAATACATTAAAATACATTAAAATACATTAAACATAATGGCCCTTAAAATAGTAAATGTTTTAGCCAGTTGTTAGATCCAAGCCTGCACAACCTGTGGCCCTCCAGATAGTTTTGGCCTCCATCTCCCAGAAGCCCTTTCTCGCTTGTCAAATGGTCAGAAATTCTGGGAGGACCAGAAGTTGTGCAGATCTGCTATTTTACACTATTGTTATAAAGCCAAGACCTTGTTTCCAAACCACATAACCCAGCTGAGAGTCACCAACAGCAGAGAATAACACCAGGGAAGCCAATAGTCCGTTCCAAGATGCAAAGCCGATTCCAACAAAGTCTAGGGTCAAGGGTTAACTCAAAAATCTGAATGCCAGGGTCTACGGAGATAGTCCACAGTCCAGAAATCACCAACAGCTAAGGTTACATCTCCAAATGTTAAAGTTACTGCCAGCAACAAGGTGCCACTCTTGAGCAGCTTTTATGCTAGCTTTTTGGGTGATTTCTAATAGGAGCTCTGAAGGACCAAATAAGTTGAGACTTCTCCCGTTGCAAGTCCAGAAGAGCTGGAACAGCTCTTCCTTGACCTGCTCAGATGAACTTGCTGGCACTTGCTCTGCAAGCTGAGAAGTGGTAGCGTCCCCCATAGGCTCTTCTTCCAAACTCGGTTGAGGAAGCTGTTGGGCTCCAGCTCAAATGCTGGCCCTTCAAACAGCATCTCCTCACTCTCCCTCGCTATCAAAGCTATCCATGACAGCAACAGTTTTTAAAATTCTTTAGGGTATGGAGAGAGCAAGGGAAAGGTCTAGTTGCTATTCAAGTCTCTAGCTGTTTTTCTTCATTCCATTGTATAGGCCAGAGTTTCTCAAACTCTTCTCCTCCATATGTTTTGGACAGTTTCTAACAGCTAGTAAGCTGTCTGGGATTTCTGGGAGCTGAAGTCCAAAACACCTGGAGGAGCACAGTTTGAGAAACACTAGAATAGTCCATTGTTGTCTATGGTGTCTCTCCTCAGCTTGTTAGAGATAGCATAGGGTGCATTCTTTTTCAGCACCCAATTAATAGTCGCCACCTACCTATCATCCTGTTTCTAGCGTTGAGATGACATAGAATCATAGAGTTGGAAGAGATCTCATGGGTCATCCAGTCCAACCCCATTCTGCAATGAAGCAGAAAAATCGCATTCAAAGCACCCCCTGACAGATGGCCATACAGCCTCTGCTTAAAAGCCTCCAAAGAAGGAGCCTCCGCCACACTCCAGGGCAGAGAGTTCCACTGCTGAATGGCTCTCACAGTCAGGAAGTTCTTCCTCATGTTCAGATGGAATCTCCTTTCTTGTAGTTTGAAGCCATTGTTCTGTGTCCTAGTCTCCAGGGCAGCAGAAAACAAGCTTGCTCCATCCTCCCTATGACTTCCTCTCACATCTTGATACATGGCCATCATGTCTCAGCCTTCTCTTCTACATGCTAAAAATGTCCAACTGTTTAAGCCACTCCTCATAGGGTTGTTCTCCAGACCTTTTATCATTTTGGTTGCCCTCCTCTGGACACATTCCAACTTGTCAACATCTCTCTCCCTGATCTCCAAGTCCCTTGATTCTGCTCCTATCTCACAGCCTTCCTCTCTGGTTGTTGGTAGGTTGTTTCCTTCGTGGATGCCAGCACATCCTTCCACTCTGTGGTGCCACTGCCGCCAGGTTTACCTCCCCATGGCCTACTGTTACGGCAGACGCCTGATTGCAGAAGAAGATGAACTGATCCTGAGCCTCCGGCAGGTAATTTCCAAAGACTACTACTTCTTCCTCTTCTGCTCCTCTCATGGCTACAGAAAACAAGAAGTGGTAAAAATGATATCTAGCCCAGTCTGATTCTGCAGGAGTGGCAAAAATGTGCCCTGTGACCCCCAAAGTCTCTTTTGCAGAGACCCTCGCGTACCCCTCTGAACCCTAATTGTTTTAATTTTCCAAGTAATTGTTTTGTGTTCCTGGAAGTTTCCAGTTTTAGCATGCAACAGGTCACAACCTGCACACATAAAACCCTCCAGAACTTCCTCCAAATGTGGGGAATAAATGTACAACTGGAAATTGATATCTTGGTAACTTTGTTTTTGATATTGTGGGGAGGCATGGAATAATTTTCATACATTTCTGGGTCAGTAGTGATGCTGAGAGCAAATATTTGGTCCTCGGGGTCATCAGTGTTCCCTTAGCCTAAACCTGGCCTGCACAACACATGACCTCCAACTCTCAGAAGTCCTAGCCAGCTTATCCAATGATCAGGAATTCCAGAAGCTAAAAGTCCAAAATGCTTGGATGGCCACAGGTGGTGCAGGCCTGGCTTAGATGACAGGGAGAAGCGCTTGTAATTTTTTCTTCCCAGTGTTTGTTCCTGGTGCTAATTCTGTTATGTAAGTCCTTATGACTCTTGTCTTACCAGGAGCTCTATGTGCAAGACTATTCTACTATTGACTGGCCAGCACAAAAGAATAATGTTGCTCCAGGGGATATGTATACCCCGCATAGTTGGCTTCTTACAGTGACCTATGGTGAGTCCTGTTCTGCTGTTGCCTCCAACAAAACATACTTTTTATTTGTTTGCCCTTGCTTAAGACCTTGCCCCATTTTCTAATCAAACAAGTCTATTTGGACAAACAGAGGGATATATCTTTCCTAAAGTACATTAAGGGTGCATCTGTACTGTAGAATTAATGCAATTTGAAAGCACTTTAACTGCCACAGCTAAATGCTGTGGAATCCTGGGATTTATAGTTTGGTAAAATACTAACACTGTTTGGCACAACATGCTAAATACCTTGTAAAACTACAACTCCTATGACTTGATTAATTCTACAGTATAGATGTACCGGAAGAGTAGAATGTGACAAAAAACTTAGGTGGATGTTCTTTCTAGCCTTCTGCTGAGAGGCAATGCAGTTCTATATTAAGAGTTGATCATGTTGTTATAGGAGGGTATATAACGTGTAGCTCATGCTTACTTAAGTATCAATCCCACTGTGAGGCTTGTTCCCAAGTAGCAGCTTGAGATTAATAGGCTTGATGAATAAAAAGCAAGGGGGTGTTTGACTACACAGCTATGAAGTGTCACGGTTTGCCTGCATTAGGTTTTGCTGTAATTGCCAGTGCCACACCAGTTTTTATGCTCTTTCTAAAGTTAGGATGATTCTTTGAGTGATCTTGGCTCTCCTGATCACATGAGTTGTGGCAGATGGAGAGGAGAAGCGAGGCCATTTCACCAGCCCCACTGGAAGATATTAACTGGTTTTTCCTCCCCACTTGCCTTCCTGTTGGGTCTTTCGGGAGTGTGAGCCTGCAAGCATGAACTTTGTTGTTTGTATTCAGTATACCTATGGATATATGAGCAAATGGAAAAAGGAAATTAGCATAACTTTTTCTATATAGATCAGTGTTTCTCAACCTTCTTAATGCTGTGACCCCTTAAACAGTTCCTCATGTTGTGGTGACCCCCAACCATAAAATTATTTTTGTTGCGACTTCATAACTGTACTTTTGCTGTGGTTACAAATCATAATGTAAATATCTGATATGCGGGATGTATTTTCATTCACTAGATCAAATTTGGCACAAATACCCAATATGCCCAAATTTGAATACTGGTGGGGTTTGAGGGGGGGGGGGTATTGGTTTTTTCATTTGGGAGTTGTAGTTGCTGGGATTTATAGTTAACCTACAATCAAAGAGCATTCTGAACTCCACCAACGATAGAATTGAACCAATCTTGACACACAGAACTCCCATGCCTTGAAAGGACTTGCTGCTGTGAGCCTCCTTCCAGCCTCACATGCTCTCCCTTGCCCGCAGATGTGCACCACACTGCCATGTGCCAAGCATGCCTGTTCTCCCTTTCCTCCTTGGAGTCTCAGAAACAGCCCTCCCTTTGGCTTAGAGGCTGGCTGAGAGGCCAGCCAATCACAGTGGAGGAAGGCTTTTTGGTAGGAGGATTTGCCATCTGTTTCCAAAAAGGAAGAGAAGGACAGGTGAAGAGATCTTCAGCTTTCTCTGCCAAAGGAATTCCTAAGACCATCAGAAATATGTGTTTTCTGATGATCTTTGGTGACCCCTCTGAAACCCCCTCACAACCCCCCTCCAGGGGTCCCGACCCCCAGGTTGAGAAACGCTGATACAGATCCTAGATCCTAAACTGATTTCTTCGCAAGATGGCTGTGGCCCCATACCTGCCCTTGTTGACTTTGGACTGTTCAACAAATTGATGACACTGACCTTGTTTTTATTACAGCAATACTGAACACCTATGAGAGATTCCACAGCACAAGTCTGAGACAGCACGCTATGGAAGTGCTGTACGACCACATCAAGGCTGACGATCGATTCACCAAGGCCATCAGTATTGGCCCAGTAGGTGGCATTCACCCTTTACTGAGAACTAAGTAGTTCTAGAACTGATCTTCTGCTGCAGATGTGGAAAATTTTGCCATGGCTGCTTGCAACTTTTAAGCCACAATGTATCATAGCCATAATTATTTAATATAACCATGAATTTCCATGTGGATGATCTAAATCTGCAGTGGATTTTCCCTTACATCAATGTGATTTGGGGATGTGTAAGCTGTGTTGCATACAGGCAACTGGGGGTGACTGTTAAGAATGTGGACAGGAATATGTATGATAGCAAAAATGTGGCATGTAATTCTATAGCTGCTATAACAACACAGTGGGTGGTAGAGAGGATTTTAAATTAAATTCATATATAGGAAAACCTATATGTAAAACAATCCCAATGCTGCTCAGCCAAATTATAATGATACCACCTCCACTACAGACTAGCTCACCAAAATATGAAAGGAGTATGGTTGCTGAACCCACTGTCTATTTAAAAGTTAGGAACTGGGAACCGCTGAAACTGAGAGACTTCAAATGCAAATTTTGTATTCTTCAAAAGATATCCTCTGCCATCATATTAATAATAAACAGACTGAGGTATTATTGAGAGGTTGTTCAGTAACACACTGTGTCACTATAGTTTTCTTAGAGGTTGCTTGAATAAGGCTTTGACCACAAAGGCATTCACACTGATGCTGGTATAAGTTGATAAAAATAACAAGAATGTGTATTGAACAGGCTTGAATTATTCAGGTATAAATGCTTAATGGTTTCAGTAAAAAAATACTGGCATAAAAAGCTTATGGTTGCGTTTGAGTAAAGATCTTAAAATCTTTTGGGTTACAAGTCTTAAAAGTTCCACCACAGAAAATTACTTCAGGAAATGAATCTCTGATAGTAACTCCCCCCAAAATCCCCCTTAGGAATCTAGCCAAAACCCTGAACTAGAYTTCCTTAGGAAATGAACAGACYACTAACAGGGTGCTGCTCCACACAGTATTCTAGCTATCTTCAATAGCTGTTCTGAATACTACCCAAAAGACTGACCCAAATTTCTTCTTCAAAACCCAAACTACTTTCACTAACACCCACGCTTCTTCTCTCTAYCCGTTCCAAATTCCAAACTGGAAAACTGGGACYTCAAACCTCAGTTTTAAAAGACACTTTTTCCTTCAGACCACTTAGGCCCCATSTTTCTAACCAATCCTAGCCTTCTGATTTTCCCTCCTAGACTTGAACACRCCCCCTCAAGGCAAATCTAACCTAAGCTGGCTTCTCCCTGTTTCTCTTTCCTAAAATGGATGYCGTGGCTTCGCCAGGCCCACTTCCTTAGGCTTTTGCCAGCTAGCTAARGTAAGGGATTCATTACAGCCGCCTTTAGACAGATAATTACAGGAACAGTCTTGGCCAGTGGTGTTAAAGGTCCYAGATGGACTTATTTGGATCAGATTGCCCTTGCTGTTGGAACTGTCCTCCCCTTTCACAGAATAAGCATCTTGCTCAGCAGCCATTAGCACTCTAAGGCTAAAAGAAGCCAGTTGTGAGTGACATTTCCAGGGTTTGATTCAGCCGCAAGCCACAGTTCAAACCAGTAAGGATTCATAAGCCAGCAAAAACCCACCATAATCCCTTGATATCACATTGGGATTTGGTGGTGAGAAAAATGTAAATGGTTTGTGAAGTGGTTCAGGTCTGAATGTCCTGAGAAGTCACATTTCAGCAAACTAAAGCCTGTCTTATCATTATCTGTAAGTGTGCCTTTCATTGTGGCATTTCTGTAATTCTGCAGTGACTGATGAAATACAGAAGGTGCACATAGATGGACTCGGGAAGTTCTCTTCATGCAATGTTTGAAATCCTCAATAAGAAGGGGTCATGGTCAGTGATAGAGAATGTGATTTTCATTTAGAAAGTCCCAAATTCAATCCCTGGCATCTTTGATTTAAAAAAATGACCTTAAAATCCTCTGCACAAGATTGGGAGATCTTTCTGCTTGTCAATGAAGACCATTCTGGTTAATTCAGGCAGCATGACTGATCACCTGAGTTTCAAGAGAAAAGGAATGAGCAGTCTTCTGACTGATAAAGTCTTCATACGTTAACATGGAAATACCTGGCATGTGGTTAGTACTAGCAGTCCAACCCTTGAATGTACAGATTTGCTCTCTTTCAAGGGTCCTTGTCTCTTGGAATTTGATGAGGGGTTTAAGCTTATGAAGTGGCACAGGTATTAGAAGCTTTTGTTGCCCTAGGAATCATAACTGTTGGCATTTCTGACCTCTTGTAGATTTCTAAAACAATCAATATGCTGGTTCGCTGGTACGTGGAAGGAGACAAGTCTCCTGCCTTCCAAGAACATGTGTCCAGAATCCCTGACTACCTCTGGTAAGGCTTTGTTGTAATGCAGAGTTGTAAGCATGGACAAAACATGGATTGCACCACCTCTCTCCCAAGAGTATCCTATCCTATTGGAGAGGATCTGTTTTGGTCAGAGCATGTGTGGAGGACGGCACTCCCAGGAATAGGAGAATGTTAGCCTTTGGGGCAGTCCATTCATTCTTAATTTTTACATCTTCATTGTGTCCTTTCTCCAAGGTCTGAGCCCAGATAGGGGTGCAAAACCAAATTCTGCAAATCTCCAGGCAAGAGTTTTAACTTGGCTTTCTGACATCCCAGCCAGCCCCCTGCAGGTTGCTATGGAGGGGCCTATCTCAAAGCCTACGTGGCAAGGAGTAGTGGGCTAGTCAGCGATGGCAATTCTGTTCAACAGCCAGAATCCGAGAGTTGCTTTGGGGGAAGTCCTGTCTGGACCCATTACATTTTTGTACCCATCTTCACTGGAGCCACCTGAAACTTGGTGAAGTTAGCATTGTGCAGCGCTGTGTTCATTTGGTATGCAGTAATATCACTTTTTTTCTTCTTCTTGCAGGCTGGGACTTGATGGCCTCAAAATGCAGGTAATGGTTCCTGGCACAAAGGGAACTTTTCTGTTGTCCTCTTGTTAAGGCCCAAGCTAATATGGTCGTCTCTTTCACTCTGCTTTAAATCTTTTGTATGTGTCCAGCTGAACTACATTCATTTAAATTTGTAATCAGTCTTGAGTTCCAGTTTTGGGAAGGAGGCAGACAGAGGGTGAATTAAGAAAGTGGTGGAAGCAGCTTTTCCAAAGTAATACTGGAAAAGCTGCTTCCATTATGGCAGGTGGGATTGAAGAAGGTGTGAGTGGAGAGCAACATACAATAAAGCAGTTTGGGGATGGTTTATATCAGGGTGAGCACCTGTGGGTTACTGGGGACACATTAGTTGCTAAGGAGACCAGGGGCACTTCCTGGCACCCCCTCAGTCATAGAATCAAAGAGTTGGAAGAGACCTCATGGGCCATCCAGTCCAACCCCCTGCCAAGAAGCAGGAATATTGCATTCAAATCACCCCTGACAAATGGCCATCCAGCCTCTGCTTAAAAGCTTCCAAAGAAGGAGCCTCTACCACACTCCGGGGCAGAGAGTTCCACTGCTGAACGGCTCTCACAGTCAGGAAGTTCTTCCTAATGTTCAGATGGAATCTCCTCTCTAGGGGCGTGGGAGCGTTTGTTGTTAATACTTTTAAACATTAAAAAGGTTATTTATTCCATTTTCAGTGAGACAGGGAAACAAACACTTTACAGGGAAACAAAGTAGACACACAGAGACAATATAGCTACATTGGTTACATAAACAAAGGGGATATTACATTTTACTCAGCATTCACACACATTCATTCATTTATTCATTACATACACACACATTATTATCCTTTCTTCCCTCTCCTGGAGAAGAGACCCAACATGGGCCAGATTGCATTCCCTGCAAATCTGCCTTTCTGTGAATACACCACCTCTCTCTGTCCCTTGGAGAAAGCAGCGAGTGACCAGACTCTGCTGTCTGCTACACTATTGGATAGTAAAAAGGTCTCTTATATAGTAATTTTTTGCTACTGTTGTTCCAAAAAGTTGTAAATTACTGACAGGTTGTTTTGTAACTAAAACAGGCTAATTCCATCAGTTCCAGACAGATGTTAGCTTTCTTCTTAAGTAAGGAGCATTATGTTTGCTTCCTTAACTTAAATAATCTTCACCTTTGACTATGTAAACATGTTATTTTCAACCACAGAGTTCAACAGTTAATCATTGCCTTTGGCCATGTCAGCAGTTTAATAGTTTTCTCTTCATCAGCCTTTTGCAGCTTGCCATAATGCCATGCTTCTTAGGATATTGTGCCCAGCCTCTGTAGGCCCCAATCGTACTCCAGTTATACAATTTCATTCAAACCACACATCATATTTATCACGCATTTTCACCATGTTTTGAGTTTCTCTCCTGGGTCTAAATTTGCCTTTGCTCCCACTGAATGTGCCTCCATGATTCTAGGAGACATTTTGGGGCATTCCATGGCAAAACATTTTTTAATCCCTGGGAGCCACAAACATTGCTTTAGGTTCTGCATGAAATCCATACTTTGTTCATTTTTTGATTGTCTCCTCCAGATATACCCCAAAAGAAGCAGTTGGGTTATATGGGGGCTGCAGTACAGGTGGGCATTGCAACAGTGTCTGTATTGTTGACAGATAGAAACCCCAAAGTCCACTCCAAGAGTTTCACTGAATCTTTACTTAGAATGCTTCTGGTTATTAGAGTTAAGGTAATAGTTTTGGACTTTGTAGTAATATCCTAGCTGTGGAAGAATTTAGCAGCTTCTCAGGACTCATAGTTTTCAAGCTTCCCATTTTGTTCCTTTTGTACACAAGATCCCAAGGCATTGAAGAAAGTGGAAATTTCTCTGTACCATTGCTTTGCAAATTGTTGTAACATTATGATTTTTTCCCACTTTCTGAGTCCACATATCTGTAAGAGGGCAGCCCCATAATAACATTTCACATGTTTCCTAAGTGAGATTTTTTTTTCCTTGCCACTTGATATATTCATGGATGAGAGTGCAGGGGGAATTGTGCTTTTCGCTCTCTGAAAGATCTGCAAACCAGCCAGAAAATTGGTGTTTCAAACTCTACCTTTGTTTTCTCTAGGGCACCAATGGATCACAGCTTTGGGATACAGCATTTGCTGTCCAAGCCTTTTTGGAGGTAATCTTTTTTGCATTCAAGTTGTTCATGATGTACTGTATTAATAAATGCAGCACGACTTAGAAGAAAAATACTCTCTTTCCCTTCCATTTGGGCAATCAGACTTACTGTTTAGGGAGTGCTTAGGGAGACTTCTGCTGCTTGTGGATGCAAGTCCATGTAAAGCAGCCAGACTTTTAGTTTAAACCCTCTGCAGTTGGTTAAAGTATCAATCTAAGCACTATTTGTCAAATGTAAGGGTCTGAATTAAATGCAATATTAATTGCATGAACACAGTTAATGTTTATATGTGTTTTAAATTCTGACTAGCACTCCTTTGTCTGCTTTTTAAGGGGTGTCTCTACTAGTGACCATAGGAGCATTCCTTGAAATTCAAATAACATTTCTGAGAAACAGATTTTGTCAGAAACAAAGAGGTACAGAGAGAGAGAGAGGACGAGCATGCAAGAAATGTTCCCCTATGGCTCTCTTTGGCATTTAAAAATGTATGTTAAAATTACATGCACACAGTTAACCAGAGTTTACAGTGACTTAAATGAACTTTATTCCAAAGCAAGTGTACATAAGATTTCAGAGGCTGCCTTGAGGTGATTTGCATGCATCAAAAATGTCACACTGAGTGAAATGCTCTAAAAACGATTTCTGTTTTTCAAAGGCAGGTGCCCACAAGAAGCCCGAATTTAACTCTTGTCTTTTACATGCTCATGAGTTCTTCAGGATCACTCAGGTAAAGACCAGGTACACTCCCTAGTTAATTCCTTGTAATCCAGTTACAATGTCATATTATCCACATTTTAAACTATGCACATATTGATTTTGCAGAGGACATCTGAGCGACATCCATGCTTCTGTTATTCCTGGGAATACATTACATGCAAAAATATGTATTCCATCCCCTTTGAATTCATGTTTCTCGGGCCATTGATGGGGGAGTTTAATCCTGTCACTCTGTAGCCACATTGTTGACCTTTTATCATGTTCTCAATATCCTGCAATGCCCATTCCAGAAAAATTATCCTTTTTTACTTATATCAAAATTGACTGCCATGGGGCAGTAGATATACACTTAAAAACCATTTTAGGCTAATGCTTTCACTCAAAATTGAATTAACAAATACAACAATGCTGACTGTAAACCGCCTTGAGTCGCCTTCGGGCTGAGAAAGGCGGTAAATAAATACGGCAAATAAATAAATAAACAATTATGGTAGAAAATCTTGCTATGGCGATTTGTTTTATGTGCCTGTTTTTTTTTACTGAGTAACTTTAAAACCAGTGCTGTTCTATTATAGGTTGTCCCTATCTGCCACATTTTAATATAGTTTGTCTCTCCTCCAGATTCCAGATAACCCTCCTGATTATGAGAAGTACTACCGTCAGATGAACAAGGTACCGTCATAACAAAGGGTGATACAAACCCTGCTGTCATATACCAGTTGTCAGCCCACCCTGAGAGGGGTCTGTTTAATCTGGGGGGCAGCTTTCCTAAAGAGAAACGGCATTTCAGATTTTCTTAGTAGCTAATTCAGCTGCCAAACTGCTTTGAAACTAGGATAATTTTCCCTGTCTTTCATCCCAAGCAGTCTTCCTACAACTGTCAGACATGCCCCGAATTCTTCAAATTATTTTGAATTGATTATAGATGTTGTTTTTAACTGAATTACACTGAAATTAGTGTAATTACTAAAAAAAAACCCAACTGTGTGAATAAATGGCGTTATCTCAAATCTGTTGTTTTTTTACATTTTCTCCATACCCCACATGCTAGAAGAACAATGGCTATCATTTATTTATTTATTTATATCCCGCTTTTCTCCTGAATTGGGACTCAAAGCCGCAAACAACATATAAAAATCAAAGATATCACATTCAATGGAAATAAACAATCCCATCATAAGCATACTCTTATCTAAAAAAATTATTAAAAACCCACATCAAATATTAGTTAATATCTAAAAAACACAGTTATAACCTTCAGTAGATTAAAACCCCATCTAGTATTTAGGCCATAGTCAGGTCCATTGCTAGATATCCAGTTCAGTTCAGATATTGCACGCAATAGGTCTACCGTTCACTCTCCTTCAGGGAAGGCCTGTTTCCAAAGGAAGGTTTTTACATGGTTCCTGAACAATAACAGGAAGGGCGCCATTATAACTTCTTTAGGAAGAGGGTTACTATACGACGAATCACAGCAGAAGGACATGGGAAGCAAAATGGAAGGGTCTCATTTACAGAATAAAGGGGAAAGATAAATATATGGTGTTAAATAAGACTATTCTTATTTAACACCATATATTTGTAATAACACACAAAAGTACTTAATCTGTGGGGGGGGGGTTGTGGTGGTGGTGGGATTGGGGAAAATACTGGTATTTTGAATGTTAATTTCAAAGATGGTCTGTTTCTATATATTATACAGTAAAACGCACGCACACACACAAAGAGAAGGACAGAATATAAATGCTTTAAATAAATAAATAAAACAAGGCTAGAAGAATAAGAAAGTGTTTGATGGTCTTATTTTGCTCTTCCCCTTCCTTGCAATTTCGCAATAACTTCCAGGGTGGGTTTCCCTTCAGTACACGTGACTGTGGCTGGATTGTGGCTGACTGCACAGCAGAAGGAATGAAGTCAGTGATGCTCCTGCAAGAGAAATGCCCTTTCATCAAGGACCACATTCCACCCAGCCGCCTCTTTGACGCTGTGAATGTGGTAAGTGGGAGGAAATAGGGGCAGCACCCCTCTGTATTGTACGGAGTCCTGTTCTGACCGTCATTCCCACCTCAAGCAAGACTACAGTGTCAACTGCCATGGTCAACACCAGCAATCTTAGATTGGAGTATTTGCTCAGGGCAATAGTTGGGAACGTGGGTAGAATTGGTAAATTAAAATCAGGATGCAGTGTGACTGACATGGTCCTTTGAACTATCACCTTGCCTATGCATGCATCTCATACAAGACAGTCTGTTCTTCTGGGATGATGAACTACTGCTTTGGTTAGACTTTACCTGCAATAACACTGTGTCCAGTTCTGGGCACTACAATTCAAGAAGAATATTGACAAACTGGAAGGTGTCCAGAGGAGGGTGACAAATATGGTAAAAAGTCTGGAGACCATGAATCCCTATGAGGAGCGTCATAAAGAGCTGGGCATGTTTAGCTTGAAAAAGAGAAAGCTCAGAGGGGACATGATAGCCATGTTCAAATGTGTGAAAGCATGTCACACATTTGAACATAGGGGGCAGCAATGGATTCCAATTGCAGTAAAAGAGATTCCCCCTGCACATTAGGAAGAACTTTCTGGTGGCTGTTCAGCAATGGAACCTGCTTCCTTGGAATGTAGAGGAGTCTCATTTTCTGGAAGTTTTTAAGCAGAGGGCGGATGGCTATCTGTTGAGAATGCTTTGATTTTGGATTCATGAATTCGAAGCCAGCCCGGGTCGGAGTGAGCTTCCGACCAATTGTGTAGCTTGTTGTCGACCTTTGTAATCCAAAAGACAGTTGCATCTGTCAAGTAGAAAAATTAGGTATCACCTATGTGTGGGGAGGCTAATTTAACTAATTTATGAGGCCATAAAAATATTCCAGCAAAGCACTCCAGCAAAGCATGCGGGGAATGCAGAAGTACTTCATCAGTGTCGCAGATGGACGATGAAAGCAACAGCTCCTCTGGCGGCCAGAAAAAGTTAAATAGCCTCTGACTGTCTGTCTATATGTGTTGTGTGTCTTTGGCATTGAATGTTTGCCATATATGTGTGCGGGGTGAGAAGGGCGGAATATAAATACTGTAAATAAATAAGTAAATAATAAATAAATTCCTGCGTAGCAGGAGTTTGGACTGGATAGCCCTGGTAGTCTCTTCCAACTTTGTGATCCTATTATTCTCTCTTCTCTGTTGATTTTCAGTTGCTGAATATGCAAAATGCTGATGGTGGCTTTTCTACCTATGAAACAATGCGCGGAGGCTGGCTGCTGGAGCTACTGAATCCTTCTGAAGTCTTTGGTGAGAGGCATGCATTGTCTTCGCTCCCCTTTGGGCCACAGGGGCAGCTGGAATTCCTTGGCCATTGGTACCAAGGGCTGGAGTTGAGGCTGACACTTTACTCACTTTGGCGAGTGCCTGCCTTTGTCTGCCACTGTCTCTTTAGACCAGGATCCCCTTCTCATAAAGCAGTTTTGTGTTCCTCCTTGTGGTCTCACCACATTTATATTGTGCTGTGGTAGAAAACAAAGAACATATATTTTTACTTAGAAGAAAAACAAGTTTGTGTTGTAAAATTAGATATCTCCTGCACAGAAATGATCTTTCTGTCTTTGGGAATATGAATGTTACAAGTGTGCTGAAGATGATTGGAAATGATGAGGTACCTGACAGAGTATGTCCTACACCAGTGAAGTTGAATAGTAGGCTTGTGCACAGATCCAATTTGGCCGGTTCCCTTCAGCTAATCTGGCTGGTCTGACTTGTTTGGCCAGCTGTAATGGCAAGGGCTCAGCCTCCATGTTTTCTTTGGCTACAACAGAGCAGTGGCTGCTGAAAACCGTCTGCCTTCAGTTACAAGTGGAGGGAGTACAAGAGGAAGGAAGCCGCTAGAAGGAAAACTGTGTGTGGGGAGGAAAGGCGCCACTCCAGGCCATGCAAATCAAGAGAAAAGAGAGGGCTATTTAAAGGAAGTCCAGAGTAGATAGCTCTAGGTCTAGCTCTAGTAGATAACTCTTCCTTCTCTGGGAAGTGGGGAAGCCTCCTTAAAATGCCTTGGAAATCTGTGTGCTGCAGGGAGAGAGTTCTGTGTGTATCGTAGCACCTGCCTCCTCTAGAGTAGAAACAGCTTTTAGCATTTCCACAGCTTTCCACAGACAGAAGGGAAGGGATCACAGAAAGAGTGGTATCTTAACTCTGATGTTTTAAATCCAGGTCTTAATGAAGGATGTAAGGACAAACAATGCCTAAAAGGATGGGAAGGGGAGCCTAGGAAGTACCCCCCCCCCTGCAGTGAGCCAGATAGAAAATGCATCTTTTGGCTTCCTAGATCAAAAATGGATTTCTGTTCTCCCAAATTTTGGAGGCTCTAAAAATATTGGATTGGGATCCGCACCAAAATCCTGGACACCAAAACGGATCACAGTTTACCCTTTTTTTATGGAACAGCTCTAAACTATGGATCTCGACCCCAAATGGGGTCCCCTTCTTAGTTCAACCTTGGGGTCACGAAAAATTTGGCAAAGGAGAAGGTTTCTGAACTCCATTCATTTATAGAAACTTGTTAGCGAGAACATGCAGGGTTTACACTGGATGCTGCAGAAATTGCTTCAGCTATTCTTGACAAAAAGACAACCAGCCTGTTTTAGAAAGTATTGTACATGCTGGTTTATTATTAGTAAATGTTTGGTTTTTTAAATACCTGTTTAATATGCTTATGTATCTGGAGTCATTTAAAAAAATTCTTGGTTGGACAGGAGTCATGAATGGAAGAATGTTAAGAAGCTCTGGTCTGGAGAACTTCCATGTATTGACTTCTGCCAATTGAAAACATTTTTCCACAATCCGCAGGTGATATTATGGTGGATTATACCTACGTAGAGTGTACATCAGCCGTAATGCAAGCGCTGAAGCATTTCCATGAGCGCTTCCCTGAACATAGGACATTGGAGATCAGGTAAGGCAAGCAGCAACAGAGAAAAAAAGAGGACAAAGGATGATGATAGAAAAGCCATTTGTGGAGCCTTCATTTTGGAGTTAATTTGTGAAGTAAAAACCCCTCTAGAATATAAATGGTGTGGTTCAGTTGAACATCCTGCTTTTCCGTGCAGAAGGAGATAAGTGGGACTTTGCAGTCCTCCTGATGTGACCTGGGTCTACAAAAACATGTTAGTATCATTTAGTATAGGCTAGACAAAGTACTGCAAAAGACAAGAGAGAGAGTGACTAATCATGGATTGAAAAGCATAATTTTGTTTCTCTCCCCGGTCGCCCAATTTTTCAGAGAGGTGCTCCAAAAAGGCTTGCAGTTTTGTCGGAGATTGCAGAGAACTGATGGCTCCTGGGAAGGGTGAGTGTCTTCACAAAGCCAAGGGCAATTGTAGCAGCTTATGTGGCTCCCCGGTTTCTTTTTTTGTCTCCCATCTTAAATGGCAAAATGACTGGGGTTGTTAGCATTCTTTGAATCATTGTAAGCATTTTATCACTAGGTTTTGCTTCACGCACTTTGTTTTAATTCATGATGTGATAGTCACATTTGGGAGGAAAGAGGGGTATAACTACAGGGGAGGAAGGGAGAGGAAGTGCCAAGTCTGTTTACGGTACAATCCTTTGTACCCCAGGGAAGGCATGAAGCCAAAGGATATAAGCAGCAGCACATAAGAGATGGTGGGGAGCTCTGATGTAGATTTCCCCCCACCCGTCCTCATAGCATTCCCCTCTTTTGCATAGTAAGTTTTTAAAAAGCAAGGCAAGTAGAAGTATTTATAGGTGTCAGAATGAAAGTAAGACCGACATTGCACTTCCCTTTGATTATTTTGAAGTTATAAGAGTTGGTAATTTCATGTTCTGTCCTTTCATTTCAGTTCCTTTCAGGGCAGTGGGGAATTTATCGATGAACTGCTCTTTTCTGACACATTTTTTTCTAAAAAAATGATGGCCGATTTCTCTTCCCCATTAGGTCCTGGGGTGTGTGCTTCACCTATGGTATGTGGTTTGCATTGGAAGCTTTCGCTTGTATGGAGCACACCTACCATGATGGGTGAGTGAATACTTTTTACAAGTTTTATGACAAGGTCTTGATGATTAGGAGAAATGGTTTGGAATGAGAGAGGTCTTTCTCATAATTGATTTGATCTCTGGGATGAGCCCAGGCTCTGTATGCATGTGTGTGTGTGCATGTCTGCTTGCTTGCTCAAAATGGTTTTGTAGATGAGCTGGATGTTACTCTGTTAGTTAAGACAGTAAAAAACCATTGCTCAGTCCATCAAATCTCAGGATTTTGGTTACTCGGTTGACTCCTGGCATCAAATAGGAAACAGAAGTAACCTTGCTGGACCACAGGTTTTTAAACAGAGACAGAGTGGCTATCTGTCAGGAGTAATTTGATTGTATTTTCCTGCATGACAGAATGGGTTCAGACCGGATGGCCCTTTTATTATTTATTTATTTGCAGTATTTATATACCACCCTTCTCAACCTCAGAGGGGACCCGGGGCAATTCACAGTGTTGGTAACAATTCAATATCATCGATAAAAAAAGTTATAAAGCATCAAAATGGACCCTCCCCTGATAAAACATTAAACATTATTAAACACATCACATAAAATAATATTTTTGCTTTTGTCTTCTTCCAGCTCTATTACTATGTTTCAATGGTCCTCCCTGGCTTGTAGCTGTAAGCATGTCTATTGCTGCTGCTGTCCATTCAGAGTCGCATCAAATATTAGGGAGAGCTAGGCTATCACACATGGGAGGCGATCCTCTTGCAAGTGCCACTTTCATGCACTTGCAGGCAGACAATGAACTATGTGTGCCTTGCACTTCGTGAAGTAGGATGTATGATGCCCTGCTCCAAGCCTTCCTAGATTGGACTGTCTTTCCAAATTGTGCAGAGGGATAAAGTGCACCTCAGTTTAGCCAGAGCTTAGCCTTTTTAACACAATAGGAGAAGTCATGGGGAGCAAGCTTGTTTTCTGCTGGCCTGGAGACTAGGATGTGGAACAGTGGCTTCAAACGACAGAAAAGAAAGGAGATTCCACCTGAACAAGAGGAAGAACTTCCTGACTCTGAGCTGTTCAGCAGTGGAACTCTCTGCCCCAAAGTGTGGTGGAGGCTCCTTCTTTGGAGGCTTTTAAGCAGAGGCTGGATGGCCATCTATTGGAGGTGCTTTGAATGAGATTTCCCTGCTCCTTGTCAGGGGTTGGACTGGATGGCCCACAAGGTTTCTTCCAACTCTAGGATTCTGTGAATCAATATTCTGCTCCTACATGAAGAATTACATTTGTAGGGAAATATCCTGTTATATCTTTTCTTTTTCAGAGTGGCCTGCAAAGAAATATCCCGGGCTTGTGAATTCTTGATCTCCAAACAGATGGAAGATGGTGGTTGGGGCGAGGACTTTGAGTCTTGCGAACAGCGCACATATGTTCAGAGTGCCACTTCCCAGGTCCACAACACTTGCTGGGCTCTCTTGGGACTCATGGCTGTACGGTAAAAACTCCTGATTGGAAAACACGTTCTTCTCTCTGTCATACTCCTTCCCACCAGTGGCCTCTGCATTGGTATAAATAGCAACCACCCTTTCTGAGATCTTTCATTGATGCTGCAGCCATCAAGCAGTTGGCTGCCATTGGGACATGCAATGAGGAGAGTTAGGAAGAGACTGGATGAAGTTCTTTTCTAACACTCCTACATTCAGCATTTGAATGTGGTTCATCCATCCAGAGGAATAATATAATCTCTGAGGCTGGATCTGAGAAAGGTATATTTCACAAACTGGGCCAAACCTCACCAAATGAATTTCAACAAGGAGAAATGTAAGATAATTAAGTAGAAAAAAAATGAAATGCACAGAAACGGGATGGGTGACACCTGACTCAACAATACTACATGGAGTAATAGGTTCAAGTTACAGGAAAGTAGATTCCCCCTGAACTTCCTGACCATGTGACTTCTGACCATATGAGCTGTTCAACAGTGGAACTCACTGCCTCAGAGTGTGGTGGAAGCGCCTTCTTTGGAGACTTAAATAAAGGTTGGAGGGCCATCTGTCAGGGATGCTTTGGGTGATTTGAATGCAATATTCCTGCTTCTTGGCAGGGGGTTGGACTGGATGGCCCATGAGGTCTCTTCCAACTCTTTGATTCTATGATTCTATGCCTTTCCTGCACAGCAGGGGGTTGGACTAGGTGGCCCATGTGGTCTTTTCCAACTCTATGATTCAAACCTAGAGAACTACCACAAATTAGTGTTGTGTCCTCCATCTACAACTTTATGAGCAAGCACACATTGTTTGTGTGTTGTATGAGTTTCTATGGCTAAGTGGAGAGTCATATCTTGGTCTCTAGAGTCATAGTCCAATGCTCAAGCCACTACGCCAAACTTACTCTCAAGTCCACAGTAGGTCCCCACTGATCATAGAGACACCCACTTCTATCATTCAGGGTGAGAAATGTGACGGCCAGTACTCAAAATTAGCTCCATTCAGGAAGGTTCTTAGCCACTGCCTTTGTTTTGCTGTAGAACATGGGACTGGCTCCTTAAGTCTTTGTGGCTGAAATCTGACATTCCTCTTTGGGATACTGCAGCACTTTGAGGAAGTTTTTCTAAAATTGGAAACTACCTGCTGTAGATTTTCTCTTTGAACCCACCTTAGAAATGCATTTCCAACAAAACATTTTTTTTTTACTTTGCAGGTATCCTGATGTCAAAGTCTTGGAAAAGGGGATCAAAGTTTTGATTGATAAGCAGCTGCCAAATGGGGACTGGCCCCAGGTAAGATGTCTCCGTCTTCGGTGCATTATATACTGAATTAAAGGCATGAACAATATTTTTGCAAGTATAAAATAACAGTTTTTACACTTCCATCATTCTGTCTGGCCCCATCTACACTACCATATAATGCATGTTCAGAATGCATTAACTGCATTGAACTGGATTATGAGTCTACACTGCCATACAATTTATCTATCTCTTCGATCATCTGGAGAGGCCCTGCTCACGCTCCCACCTCCTTCGCAGGCGCGATTGGTGGGGATGCGGGAGAGGGCCTTCTCGGTGGTGGCCCCTCGACTCTGGAACTCACTTCCCAGGGACATCAGACATGCCCCAACTCTGGCAGTCTTTAGGAGGAGCCTGAAAACGTGGTTGTTCCAGTGTTCCTTCCCAGAATAAAGAAAACTCTCAGCAATATGCCCTCAAAATTAACTTTATCATTGATTTAAGACTGACTGCACTCCCTCAATTCTCTCTGAAAATGTTCACGTCACGTCAGCATTATTTTAATTTTAATCTATGACATTTGGCCCAGCCATTGGTTTTTAACGTGTTGTATGTCATTGTTGATTGCTTATTGCTTATTTTTGTTTATGTGATTTATTTGAGTTGTATTGTATTGACTGTTTATTTGATGTTTTGTTTATTGATGTATTGTGGGCACACTGAGTCCCTTGGGGAGATGGTAGTGGGGTACAAATAAAGTTATTATTATTATTATATTTATATTTATATTTATATTTATTATATTTATTATTTATTTATTTATTTATTTATTTTATTAACTACATTTCTATACCACTTTTCTCACCCCTGGGGGGACTCAAAGCGGTTTACAACATAATAAATGGCAAATTCAGTGCCTCACAGATATATAAAATTATCACATATCTATATCAATAACATACAACTGCAGATAAAAACCGTTAAAACTATAAAAACATTAAACATAGACATAAACATGAAACATATATTATTGCTGCAATTAACAATGTAGACCCTGTCTCTTCCTCCCCCCCACTCCCCAACTCTCTCTCCATAGCGTTTCAGCCCTTCTTTTTATACCCTCCCTGCTCCCCACATCCCAACAGACACAAAGTTATTTAGGTACAGATTGAATACAAAATGGGGAGGGTAAAAAAAAGTCCTGGGCCTTCTTGGGGGATGGTAAATGTGATATGAGGTCCTTGGGGCGGGTGGAGGGAGAGTCTTATCTGATGATGGTAGTAGGCTACTGATCAGTTTCGTAGAAGTCCGGAGGAACATAGATTTTATCAATTGAGGTGTCATAAGTTAGGTGTGAGCTATCACTTGCCAGTAGACTGAGGATGGGGAAGGGCAGAAGTGCAGCTGCCCCTGAGGAGAGTTGGTATGTAGGCTGCACCTTGCACTCTGGAGTAGCTGAAGTCTCCTGGCCTCCTTTTCACCTCCTCCTTGCTGGCTGTTGGAGGGAGGGGGCAGTGAGGTGTAGCTGCTGCCGAGGAGGGTTGGTGTCACAGCAGTTTAACTCCATTCTGAAACTGCATTATATGAAAGTGTACATGGAGCCTGCATCACACATATCTGCCTAGCTTTTCTTCAATGAAAGACTACTTTGTTGCCTCCCCTGTCTCCTCCACTTGTCAACACCAGTAATAAAGAACTCTTGCTTAGTGAAATAATACTTCCTTCCCAGCTCTTAGAGATATCAGAGTTTTTTCCCCAATCTACACAATCAGAGCAGTTTGACATCATTTTGATTGCAATGGCAGCACGGTATGGACTCTTGGGATTTGTAGCTTCGTTTTGAACTCTCACAATAAATTACAAATCTCAGGATTCACCAGTGCCTGTTCAGGCTATCTCAAAGCACTATCAGTGTGTAGGACCCTGAGAAAGTTTTATTATTAAAATCCCCTCTGAACTTGCTAATGTCTTTCTTCAACATAAGAGATAAACACCGAGAGCAGAAAATAATCACTCATTCCTCTTCTATACTGTCATAAAATCCAGATTATCTATTTTGAGCTGGATTATATGGCAGTGTAGACTCATATAATCCAGTTCAAAGCAGATAATGTGGATTATCTGATTTGTTAATCTGAATTATATGGCAGTGTAGAAGGGACCTCAAAGTACAATCTTATCATTTATTTATTTATTTGTTTCAAACATTTTTACCCCGCCCTTCTCAACCACTAGGGGTACACAGGGCGGCTTCCAATTGGCAACTATTTGATGCCGTATCATAAAATACAAAACAGCAATTATAACAGTTTAAAAACATAAACATTAAGACATAAAAATTAAAACAGTATACTTGCAGTCCATTGAGCTGTTACCAGTCTGGTGGCTATTTATTTAGCCATATGCTATTGAGTACTCCGCTTAACTGAACCAAATCCACTTCCAAACCATAGTCAAACATTATCAATTGTCCTTTAACCTAATTGCCCGAAGGCCTGGTCCCACATCCACGTTTTAACCTTCTTTCTAAAGGTAAGGAGGGATGATGACAACCTAATTATCATCAGATAATTATCTGTAAATCATTTCTTCACCTTTTCCAACAGTAGTGAAAATGTTCCTTACAAATCACCTTATTCTAAAGATGTATAAGCACACTGTTCTTTCAGGCTATTTCAGAATATGAGGTGATTTATGTAGCTGATAGCCATCCGATAGCTCTCTTTATACAAAGATGCACCTCTGTGTGCTTTTTATACCTTTGCGGTCACGTGATGTGGAGGTAATGTTGGATTCTGTTCTGTTATTTTGCTTTACAGGAGAACATTTCTGGAGTATTCAACAAATCCTGTGCTATTAGCTACACTTCCTACCGCAACGTTTTCCCCATCTGGACCCTGGGACGCTTTTCTCATCTCCATTGCACCAGCCCTCTTGCTGGCAAACTATCAAGTGAGGCCTTAAAGAATGGAGAGGGGTGCCTGGCCGGAGGAAAAGCAAATGGACAGCGTTTCCCGTTTGCGTCTTCCTAAGCTGGGGCTTTTATTACCACTGGCAAAGATATGTGAATGGCCCATCTCCCTGATATTTTTTTCCTAATTTCTAAATGACATGACACCTAAAGGGTACCTAGAAGGCTCTGTCTCACAGAATCAGCAAGGAGGGAGAAGAGAAGAGGAGTCTCTAGACATTTCCTTGTCATTGAGCATCCTCTTGTTCTTACTGTAGTTGCGCACAGCATACAAAGAGAATTTGATGCCTGGAAACATTCACACCTCAGCAGGCTTCCTTCTGCTTCTGGAGAATAAATGGGCCACTCCATCTTCCTTGGTGAGGCCAATTTGTTCTCCCAGATGAACTGATAGAGTTGGAGCTTTGTCCAGTCCCTCAACCACCAGATTCCACTAACAGGGTGTTACATGGAGCTGATGATCCCTAGAGTGCAACCTTAGAGTCCACACCTCTGATTTTGCTGTTTGATGGACACTGAACTCTACTCACGTGACACAGTATACAGATGATACTGAGTAGGCCTCATGCTGCCTGTCCAACATATGATGATTCTAATGTGTGATTATAACTTTACATCATTGATGTGAATAAAGAGAATTTTGTCATGGTTTCTGTAGCCTTCCTCAATAACCAAGCAACAGATTGGGGGGAGGGGAGGCATTTGTCACATAATAGTAAGGAGCATGCACTATGCTGTAAGATGTTGTTGTTCATTCGTTCAGTTGTTTCCGACTTTTCGTGACCTCAAGGACCATCCCAGGCCAGAGCTCTCTGTCGGCCGTCACCAACCCCAGCTCCTTCAAGGTCAATCCAGTCACTTCAAGGATACCATCCATCCATCTTGCCCTTGGTCGGCCCCTCTTCCTTTTTCCTTCCATTTCCCCAGCATAATTGTCTTCTCTAAGCTTTCCTTCTCATTATGTGGCCAAAGTACTTCATCTTTGCCTCTACTATCCTTCCCTCCAATGAGCAGTCAGGCTTTATTTCCTGAAGTATGGACTGGTTGGATCTTCTCGCGGTCCAAGGCACTCTCAGAACTTTCCTCCAACACCACAGTTCAAAAGCATCTATCTTCCTTCGCTCAACCTTCCCTATGGTCCAGCTCTCACATCTGTAGGTGACTACGGGGAATACCATTACTTTAACTATGCAGATATTTGCTGCCTGTGTGATGTCTCTACTCTTCACTATTTTATTGAGCTTGGTCATTGCTCTCCTCCCAAGAAGTAAGCGTCTCCTGATTTCCTGGCTGCAGTCTGCGTCTGCAGTAATCTTTGCACCTAGAAAATACAAAGTCTGTCACTGCCTCCACGTTTTCTCCCTGCTATAAGATATTTTACAGTAATTTGCATGAGACAAGCAATACAGGCCTTGGCTCACCTCTTGCTCTCCTGGCAAGTTCCTATTCAATCCAGTTTTCAGAAATTGATTCCAAGGGGCTCTTACTGGTGCCTTATTTCATTTTTTCATATCCTGTCTTTTAATGCATGTATAAAAGCTTCAATTTCATGGATGAATTGTTTTCTGTAATAACCTTTACATATTTGTACTAATGGTTTTGGATATTTTTAACCTGTTCTTCGAATAATAATAATAAATAATATTCTGTTAGTTGCCTTGAGTCCCAGTATTAGGGGGAAAGTGGAGATAACAATTAATAACAGAGTATTGCTTTCCCGTAGTCGTACAACACAGTAGAATTAAAAGGGCAACACAGTATGAAACAGTAACGGTGCAAGTTCTCCTGTATAACTTAAAAGAGAAATCAGAACCTGATTCTATTTTTCTTCCAGCTTTTGGCGCAACTCTGGTTTCAAACACTATTCAAGCTTCTGGTGAATATGGTGCCTGTGCTCCCAAATCTGCTTGGAACCTGCCTTTCAGGTTGGATCTACACTGTCTTATATCCCAGGATCTGATACCAGATTATCTGATTTCAACTGGGTTATATGAGTTCACACTGTCGGATAATCAGGGATAAGAAGATAATCAGGGATCAGATCCCGGGATATAGGGCAGTGTAGATCCAGCCTTAATTACTAGATCACTGGGAAAGAAATCTGGCCAGTAGACACCAAATTTCCTGTCCACAACATACTCCCTTCTCCATGCCTTTATTGCAACTGGTCACCTCTCAGGCATGTGTTAGAGGAACCGTGCAGTGTCAGATTTAGGACCAAAGAGCCCCTGTGCTAGTTAAGTTATGAGGCCCCTTCCTTACTTGGGCCCTTGTAGGCCTACGCTGCCTGCTTTGTGGCACACTCCATAGACTGCCAACTCGATTATTATGTCTGAAATCTCTCCCAAACAGATTGCCTTCAAATTTAGAATTGCACCACATAAGCAAAATCCATTGTAAAAAAAAAATGGCACACCTAAGCACAATGGTAAATCTGGCACTGAGCCCCTGCTACACTTTTAGTCTTTCCTCCTCCTTCCAAGGTGTGATAGGTGTTGGGTGTATGTAATACTTTGTAGCTATGTTAGTTGGACACTTTGAGTCTCTTGTCCTCCCCAGACTAGTTCTCAGTGTAGAGGTATTATATAGTTCTCTTCCTTTCTGTGCCAGGCTTCCTCTGGAAAAAAAAAAGACCTGAAAGAAACAGTGGTAGGGTTAAAACAGTGGTAGGGTTAAAAATGGTAGGGTTAAAAATCCCCTTTTCGGCCTTTCGACTGACCAGGAGTCCCTCTGTCTTGTCTGGATTAAGTTTCAATCTGTTCGCCCTCATCCAGTCTGACACAGCGGCCAAGCACTGGTTCAGGACCTGCACATTCCACGCAGAAGAGTCCCCTCAGGGAGATATGGTGGCCTATACATAAATAATAGTAATTATTATTATTTTACCGACACAAAAACACAGTTTGTCACAGCAAACAAGATATATGTGCTGGATTTCGTATCACAAAATCACAAGTCGAATATTTCCTAAGCGTCTAGGATTGTGTGATGTATTTTTGAATGATGCATGCAGATCCTATTCTTATTATTATTTACTGCAACCAGGTCTCTCAGTACCAAAGTCAATTCCCTTTTGTATTAGCAGGACCAAATGACAAAATCTGATCTCCTGCAGCAGACAAAATGCTTCTTATTAATTTAGCTGCATTCCTGACAACAGCTGGAACAAAAATACGTGTTCCCACTGAGAAGACATTGTTATGAGCTACTAGGATTTGGAGATGGTTTGGTCTTGAGTTGGAAAGGAATATATTTATACAAGATCTGCTCCTAGTGGAGCTCAAACATTTGAATATTGCTGCTTTGTACAACAAAATACACAAGTGTTTGCTTTTCCAGGCCCACTCCAAAGTATAAAATACATTATGAAAACTTTTAAATCTTCACTTCAACACACAAATTTTAGTGATTATGAGGCTGTTGATTTTTTTCAGGGTCTTTGAAAGTTGTTGCTGAAATGTATCGGATACTTTTGTGTTTTACTGCACTTCCTTTCCCTGCTCCATCTTGAGTTATTCTTCTAAACAAGCTAATCTAACCATGGATTCATAAGTGTGCAGAGATACCTGTGGAGTGCACTTCATTCAAACTCTATGTTGACTCCCTGAAGAAAGGCTTATTAGGGTTGTTGTAGGTTTTTTCGGTCTGTATGGCTATGGTCTAGAGGCATTTTCTCCTGACGTTTCGCCTGCATCTATGGCAAGGATCCTCAGAGATAGTGAGGTCTGTTGGAAGTAGGAAAATGGGTTTATATATCTGTGGAATGACCAGTGACAAAGGACTTTTGTCTGCTGGAGCTAGGTGTGAATGTTTCAACTGACCACCTTGATTAGCATTTAATGGCTTGGAAGTGCCTGGGGGAATCTTTTGTTGAGAGTGATTTAATGTGCCTGGTTGTTTTCTCTCTGTTGTTTTGCTGTTGTAATTTTAGAGTTTTTTAATACTGGTAGCCAGATTTTGTTCATTTTCATGGTTTCTCCTTTCTGTTGAAATTGTCCACATGCTTGTGGATTTCAATGGCCTCTCTGTGTAGTCTGACATGGTGGTTGTGAGAGTGGTCCAGCATTTCTGTGTTGGTTCATCAGGTGCTCTGCTATGGCTGATTTCTCTGGTTGAAGTAGTCTGCAGTGCCTTTCATGTTCCTTGATTCGTGTTTGGGCAATGCTGCGTTTGGTGGTCCCTATGTAGACTTGTCCACAGCTGCATGGTATACGGTAGACTCCTGCAGAAGTGAGAGGATCCCTCTTGTCCTTTGCTGAACGTAGCATTTGTTGGATTTTCTTGGTGGGTCTGTAGATAGTTTGTATGTTGTGTTTCCTCATCAGCTTCCCTATGCGGTCAGTGGTTCCCTTGATGTATGGCAAGAACACTTTTCCTCTGGGTGGATCTTCATCTTTACTCTCGTGGCTTGGTCTTGCAGCTCTTCTGAGGTCTGAGGTGGAGTATCCATTGGCCTGTAGAACCCAGTTGAGGTGGTTTAGTTCATCTTGCTCAACTTAAATCACCCTGGCAGAGTGATTTAAGTTGAGCGGCAGCATTCTCTTAAGTGTTCTGGTGACCTCATAATGTTGTAGAAACATTCTAATCTGGCTGAGTTTTCTGTGAGCCTTTAAAAGCACTGGGACAAGTGACCTGTCCAGCTAAGGTCCTCTCTTAAATATTGACCCTTCCTCACCAAGGAGGAAGAAAAGAATGTCTGGGGAGAGAGAGTGGTTGAAAAGAATTCAGGAAGAAAATGCACACCTGAAAAATCAGATCAGGCTGTTTAAAGAAAACTACGAATTACGCTTATTGTTGGGTCAGCAGGGCAACCATGTCCAGTCATCAGCACCTCAGAATCCTTCTGTGTATCCCGAACCCGGTTCAGTGTTAAAAGGAGGTGAGAAGTAACCCCTTCTTTTCATTTTCTCAAAGCAGTACCTATCAAGCTTTCAATGAAGAATTTAAAAGCCAAAGAATATAGAAATGGCGGCAGTGCCATTGGTGCCACTTGTCTATAGTCAAGGTTCAAACCAATGGCCCACACGTATGAGTTGAATGCTACAATGCCTAGGAAGTAAGTCCCATCAATCAACATACATTGGTTGGGCTGTGAATAATCTGAGGGATCATTGCTCACTTTTGGCATTATGATTTGAAGCGATCTTAAAGTTTGGATATTTAATAAAACAATAATGTTTATGAAATTAAATTTCAATAAAATAATGACATCACAACTGTGAAAGCAAAGAAAACAAAATACACACAGGATTAAAACACAGAAAACAGATACAAATACTTACACAATTTGGGGGGGGGGGAGAATAAAAAAGAGCACTTTTGTACTAGTGATAGTTGAACGATTTAGCATTAATTTTGTGCATTCTTTTAAATTCTCCAACTCTTAATTGTTAGAGTTAATTTACAAAACCCATAAAAGTCATTCTATTTGTATTCTATCTCAAATATACAAGAAATAACAGGATAATTAATCTATCAATTTCTGCTATCTCAAATATTTTTGTTTACAATTATTTGTTGAGGGGATCTTTGTATCTTTTCTACAACTGTGCACCAAAAGTTTATATGACCATATATGGAGGATTTTGATTTTGAGTGTTTTTTTTAAATTCTCTATAGATTTACTTTCAAAATTTCTTCGGTTTAATGTA